ACTTTATTTGATATGAGGATGGAAACCCCTGCTTGCTTCCACAGTCCATGTGAGTGGTGTGATTTTTTTTCCCATCCTTTCACCTTCAGTCTGTGGATGTCTTTTCCTATGAGTCTAGTCTCTTGGAGGCAGCGTATTGTTGGGTCTTTTTAAAAAAAAAAAAAAAATCCAATCTGCCTGTCTGCGTCTTTTGTTTGGTGAGTTTAGGCCATTAACATTCAGGGTTGTTATTGAGACATGACTTATATTCCCAGTCATTTTTATTTATTTTTGGTATTTAAATTGACTTGGTTTCCCCTTTGATTAGTTTTTCCTGTAGTGTAATACCTCCCTTGCTGATTTTCTTTGTTGTTTTTCAGTTCCTCTTCATGAAATATTTTGCCAAGGATGTTCTGTAGTACAGGCTTTCGAGTTGTAAATTCTTTTAACTTTTGTTTATTGTGGAAGATTTTTATTTCATCATTAAATCTAAAGCTTAAATTTGCTGGATATAAGATTCTTGGTTGGCATCCATTTTCTTTCAGAGCTTGATACATGTTGTTCAAGGATCTTCTAGCTTTCAGGGTCTGGAATGAAATATCTGCCCATAATCTAATGGGTTTCCCCCTATATGTTATCTGATTCCTTTCTCTCATGGCTTTTAAGAGTCTCTCCTTATTCTCTGTGTTAGGCATTTTCATTATAATGTGCCTTTTGTGGATCTGTTGTGATTTTATATATTTGGTGTCCTAAAAGACTCTTGAATTTGGTTTTCTGATTCATTCTTCATGTTTGGGAAATTTTCTGATATTATTTCAGTGTATTGATTGCTCATTCCTTTGGTTTGGAACTCTATGCTTTCCTCTATCCCAATAAGTCTTAAATTTGGTCTTTTTATGCTATCCCATATTTCTTGAATGTTCTGCTCATGGTTTCTTACCATTTACACCATGTGGTCTACATTCTTTTCAAGATCATATATTTTGTCTTCATAGTCTGATATCCTGTCTTCCCAGTGGTCTAATCTATTAGTGATACTTTTAATTTAGTTTATTGTTTCTTTCATTTCAAGGATTTGTTGTTGTTGTTGTTTTTAACCTCTGTCTCCCTATTGAAGTGATCTTTTGCTTCCTGTGCTTTTTTTTTGTATGTAGCCCTTTGTCAAAATGATCTTTTGCTGCTTATATTTGCTCTCTTATATCATCCTTTAATTCACAGAACATTTAATTGTGTGCATTCTGAACTCCTTCTCTGTAATTTCTTCTGCTGCGCTGGCCATGGAGTCTAATAATGTGGTGTTTGAGCACTTTCCTCCCTGTCTTTTCATGTTGCTGTGTGTCTTCCCTTCTAGCACTGTGGATCCTAGGTATTACCATTTTTATCTATAGGCTTATAGTGCTCCTGTAGGGATCCAATACCTCTCCTTTGAGGTGAAGGACAATGTTATCAGATCCCAATATAAGCAATATACACCCTAAAAACAAATGTTTGCTATAAAGATGTTTACACTTTGGTCACAATGTATAGAAATGGTGAATTCAATTATTATCTACAATTTACTCAGTAAGTTTATAAAAGGGTCTACAGGTTCTGTTGGTGGACAAAGAACCAGGAATGAAGAGTAGGGATGATATGCTGAGGAGGTAGAAGGTGAGGATATAGAGTTGTTATTTCTTAGGAAGTGTGAAAGAGAAATCTAAAGAGGAAGATTAGTAGCAGGAAAAGGGAGATGAAGTGATTTTGGGTAGACAAAAGTAAGTGGGAAGATAGTACACTACAAACAACAAAAACGCATATATATATATTAACAAAAAATGTTAAAATAGTAGAAATTGGTGAAAAAAAAATAATATACAACATAGGCTTAATATACTATTCAGATGTCCCAGTCCTCAAAATCCTAATTCATGCAAAGTACTTGGTTTCACATATGTTGGGGGTGTGAGGGCAGGAGAATAGAGAGGGAGAGGGAAAAAAATTTTTTTTGAAGCAAGAAACAGGAATTGTTTTGGTTGGAAATTAGTATTATTCCTGCTTCCTTTCTTATCCAATAGATGGGGTTGTCTGTCATTAGCTGGTGTCTCTGCCCTAAGGATGGTGAAGGTAACCTGGGTGTCACTGTGCCAGGGTAGCAGCTGCAGGGGAGAGGGGTGGGTTAGAAACTGGGTACCTGGCCAGCTGGAATTCCAAACTGGGAGTTTCCCTCACTGAAGTTGGTGATGAAAGTGACCCAAGATGGAGATGCCTGCTTTCAGTGGTGGGGTGTCGGGTTGGGTGCCAGGAGCCGAGCGATGGCATTGGCTAAGGAGTTCAGTAGACGAGCTCTGTGGCGTGCAGTGTGTGGCTGTCGGCTGTCTTCAGAGCTTGTGTGAGGTTCTTGGGTGCACGCAGGCTACTGTGCATAGGGGACTATCTATGCTGCTTCAGTGTCCCAAGATGGTGGTGACTGGGGAAGCCCCACTTTGATAGCTGGGGGTCCACATGGGATGTCAACCAGAGTTTCAGTGTGTGGAAAGCTGCTGGATGTCCTATCTGGGAGTGGCCTTGATGATTTCTGCTCAGGTGGATGGCTTTTGTTATGCACGGGTGCTGATGGTCCTGCTCAGGCACCTGGTAGTCCTGCATGGTTGAATATTTGGGAGACCTACTCTGACAGGCCTGGAGCCTGCATAGGCACAGTGGCTGTGATTCCTGTGCAGGAGCAAGAATAACGCTCACAGAGAAGCAGTATTCTCACTACTTGAATCCTAGGTCATGGAGAGACACAGAAGTCTGCTTCCCTCTGGCCCACCATCTTGGATCCTCTATGCTTCACATTTTTATAAAGGGTCTAAAAAAAATCTTTCAGGAAGGAAACCTACACACTAAAAAAATTAGTTGTACATGGACACAATACCTTCTATTATTATTATTATTATTATTATTATTATTATTATTATTATTCATTTATTTTTAGGTGTTGCTGAGGATTGAACCCAGTGCCTTACATGTGCTAGGCAAGTGCTCTACCACTGAGCCACAAACACAGCCATACACATGGTTTTAACACAGTGTATGTCAAGAGCCCCTTGTATCTGGGAGCACTGGCACATGCCTGTGATTCCAGCTGTTAGGGAGGCTGAGACAGGATCTCAAGTTCCAGGCTGGCCTGAGAAACTTAGTGAGACTTTGTTTCAAAATAAAAAAATAAAAATGGCTGGGAATGGAGCTCAATGGTAGAGTACCCCAATACTTTAACAAAAAAAAAGTCTTGTGTTTTGCAGGGCAGGGTTTGGGGTCTGGAATTCCTACTGCTCTTCACTACACATGTGTGCCATAGAAGATTATTGTGGAAAGATCACTGAGAGTGAAACTCAATCTATGACTACTTAAGCTTCATAGAGGGACAGCAGATCTAAAGACAATAAACAGTATTGTGTACTTAACACATAATTTAATACAAGTTGTGTAGGGCTGGGGATAGAAGAGGAAAGAATGAAAGAAGAAAAATGTCTGTAGCCATTTAAAAAAATCTATCTTTAATGTTTTGATAGAAGTTTGAAATGTTCTATGGAAAAAATATTTAATTAGTATTGAAGGGCAAAGTGTAGGAGACCTTTATGTTGTGTTTTATATGGGTGAAAAGAAAGAGGATATCTCCAGGAAATGAAAGAGCAAAATCTTATTAACAGAAAGATCAGTCATCTGTATTTGGAAGGGAAAAAGTATATAGAAAAAGGATGGGCAGGGTCAGCCTCGTGAAATGAACATGGGCTTTGGGGCCTGGGGACCCTAAGTCTTTGTGATTGCTCTACCTGTAAATGATCATGGGAAGGTAATTTAGTCACTAGAAGCCTCAGCTTTGCCTTGAGTGGAATAAGAAAAAGTAACATGAAACTCTCAAACTGTGGATGAGATAATAATTTCAAAAATGCATTGTTTCCAAAAACAGCATGGGGACTTAATCAATGTCAGTCTGTTGTTGTTAGGCAGCTGAGGGCAAAGGAGGGAATACTCTTTGTTGTCAGGGGAACCGATTAGGTTCTGTTTTTTTTTTTTTTTTTTAAAATATAGTTAGTGCAGAGTCAAGAAAGGATTTTGAGAACAGGGTTGGGGTTGTCAGCTCTGCAGTTTATAATGGGGAATATGGAGGAATGAATAATTGCAGGTAGATAGCAAACATTGGACCCCGATAATTATAAGTAGAGCAACAGCAGAGAGTCCAGAACAGTTCAGTGTTTCAGAGGTAGAATTGATAGGACCCGGTTGTTCCATTAGGTCAATATACATGAAAAAGTTAGGAGTGAGAGAATAAAAACAGACACCAGGGTTTCTCTCCTGAGCAACTTGAGTCTTTCATAATACCTACAGTTCAGATAGGCAGTGTGGTAGGAGGAGTAGGTATACAAAAGGAGTTCAGGTGTGGTATTTAGAATGTTTTCTATCATTTTCCTAATGGCCTTTAAAGATCTGAATTTGAATGTGGCAACTCTGTTTCTGACTCCAAATCCCTTATTTCTATGTTACCATTATATTTTGGATAGTGTGTTGATTTATTGCAAAAGCTGCCATTGTGACCCTTTGAAGTACTGCTTCTAAAGTTTATTTAATAAGCTGGGCAAAGTGGAGCACACCTGCAATCTAGGCTGATGCAGGAGGATTGCAAGTTTAAGGCCAGCCCCAGCAACTTAGCAACACTCTTTCTCAAAAAATAAAAAGTACTGGGGATGTGGCTCATTGATAATGCATTCCTGATAATCTACTACCCCCCTGCCCCCCAAAATAAATAAATAAATAAATAAATAAATAAATAAATAAATAAACTTTATGTAATAAATCAGGGTAGTTATAGTAATGTGCTCCAAAGCAAAATACCACAACTCTGAAGATCAACTGAAATGGAAGCCAAATGTGGCTAAGTGGCTTGCATTATGTGTTCCTTAGAGCTTTCATTTCTTAATGCTCCATTGAAAGTCAATGCAAATTTAGACCTTCTACTCAACACCAATCCTGGTGCATGTGTTTCTTGTTTTAATGTGCAGGACAGGAGAGAATTGGAAAAGATTCCAACTATGAGCAGGAGGGTAAAGTTCAGTTCGTGATCGATGCTGTATACGCTATGGCGCATGCTCTTCACCACATGAACAAGGATCTCTGTGCTGATTACCGGGGTGTGTGCCCAGAAATGGAGCAAGCTGGGGGCAAGAAGTTGTTGAAGTATATCCGCAATGTTAACTTCAATGGTGAGTCCCTACCATCTGAACTTTCTGGAATCCAAAATGGTTGGCACTCCATGTTTCATAAATCAAATAGTTGCATTATTATTTGACCTTGAGCTTGTGTCAAAACCTGGTAGATTATGTAATTTTGAATGATTGAGTCAGTGCATGAATTAATTCATATTTGGGGGTTGTAGTTCATTCTCATGTTGACATAGAGAAATTCTTGCACAAAGCCAAATTCTTCCTTTATAAATGTGAGTAAGGGAGGAGAGGAAAGGAAGGGAAAGGGACAGTATGGCTGCTTAAACTCCAAGCGTTATATCCACAGTCCAGTCATGTAAGAGGAGAGGGTGGAGGGTACCCCACCCTTCACATGACCAAATTGCTATAGGTACCCAAGGTAATAGAAGTAGTAATTGCAATTTGCCACACTAACCACATTTCACAGTACAAACTTGTTCTCAAACTACAGAATGCAACTATAAATTAATAGGTTAAATAAAAGAGGTGAGGAGAGATAAATAGAAAAATCGGTAAACAATTTAGAAGACTTTGGTGGAGAGGGGAGAAATACCATTTCTTTCACAGTACCTTTAAGTATTATCTTGACTCTTAGAACATTTTAATGTTTCATGTCCCCTAACTAAACAAATAAGTCAAATAAACCTCAATGTAGAACACAAGATTCAACATATTTGTTACCAAATGTTCTTAACTATATCACAAATTAATAATATAATGACACTAAAGGGGAAAAAAGAAGAAAAATAAATGCAAGAAATTTTTAGAAAATAGTATTTAGTTGTATAAGGTATGGCTACAGAAAAATAACATGGATATTATACAGTTGCTAGTAAATATGTTGGATTTTTCTCATTGTGGATAATGAGAGCCAGGTTTCTCTTTGGCGGAGATAGAAATTACTGATAAATGAAGGGTAGAATGAACTGTGTTGTGTCAGATTAGATTTAAAGATATCTGCATTTCTTCATATACATACACATGAGTAGTTACAGGAACAGATATGTATTGAATGTATCTATTTACTTGTACCACCTAGGTATGTCCACTGAGTGGCCTAGGGACAGTGGCACCTCAGGAAAAAATAACATGTGGCACTCAGATCTTATTTACAAATACCATTCTCCAGGAAAAAGAATCAGAGTTCCTTAGAGAAATGGAATCCACGGCCAGTGCAGAGAAAATACAGTATGTACTTCAGATATTCTGTGCCAGAAAGAAAGAATGCTACTGGTAGAGGGGTTACAAAAGCTGCCTTTCTAGGAAGAGAGAACTCAGAAACTAGTGGGGTTGTGTGACAAGGGCACAGATCAACTTGGAAGAGGTCTCATTTGCCAATTCTGGGACCAAGTGGGTTATAATTCATAAAGGAAAGTAAATATCCATAAGTCCATACTTGTATAAATAATAATTGGATTGAATAAACAAATGTGAGAGAATGGGTGGCATGATAGAATGACAGAAAGACGGAAATGAAAAATCACCATTTGCAAAGGCCTCAGTAATCATTGTTTCTGGCAAGAATCATTGAATGCTTAAGTTATTGGGTTAAAGTATAAACAGAAATAAGGTGTTTTCTTAGTCTCAAAAGTATCTTCAATTGGGATACATATTAATTTCTAAGGTGAAAACAGTAGCTTTGAAGTGGAGGAAACTTCAAGACAGCTCCTTGAACAAGTGATCAAGGTGAACGAAACCAGTAATAACTTATCGTTGTCATTTGTGTCTTGATACTGTGCACAGGCACTGTTAGAGCATCATGTCTGAGGCCTTATTGCAAAAAATAAATATCTTGCATAAGTCATAATATAAGAAATGTACAATAATATATAGGAAACATTAGGTGAATCCAATTCAAAGTTGTTTAAGAAAATCATTGACCAGTACTCTTCAAAAGTATCCAGGTTAAGTGAGGTGCAGTGGCATATGTTTATACTTGCAGCTACTTGGGAGGTTGAGGCAGGAGGATTGCTCGAGTCCTGGAACTGGAGGTCAGCTTGGGTGGCACAGCAAGACCCTGTCTTGAAATGAAAAAGTGCTCCGGTCATGAGAAAAACAGATGGTAGAACTGTTTCAGAAGGGAGGAAAATGAGAAATGATTGCTATCAAATGCAATGTTGGAATGTTATCTTACACCAGAAGAAGGACATTCATGGGATATTGAAGGAATCATAATAAATTTTGTTTCATAGTTTTAATATACCAGCATTAATTTCCTTGTTAGCTATATAACAGTTAACACAAGACAACAATAACTCTTTTGCTTCTCTTGTTGGAATTTAAAGTACATTTAGACTCAAAATATTGTGTATATTTTTCAGGAGTTACCTAGTATCTGGATGAAGTGATCCAATTTGGGGAGCAGTATTTTTCTAGTTAAGATGAAGACAAAAATGACTATATATAAATCCAGAATATACTTCAACTATAAGTCATCTTTTTTTCATAGTTTCTTCCTGATCTTACAGAATCTCTTACTATATAAAACCAATTTTCACAGAACAAAACAAATGTGAATTTCATTACTTACAAAGCAGTAAATAACATAAGCTGAGATTGGTTCTGGGCTTTGTATTCTGGTCCATGTAAATGTGTGAACATTCTTACACTAGTGATTAAAAAAAGTGCAAGTTTTCTTAATTATTGTGCCCTGTTTTTTCTCCCTGACAATAATTATAGACTACCGACTCATTTTTGTCAAGACCATCTTGTCTGCTGATGAATTAGTGTTGCTGAATTTTAGAATAGACACAGGGGATGGGAGACATAGATATCTATTATTTATCACAGTGGTTACTCTATGCCAGAAACTCTGCTAAGTACTTTGAATATTTTGGCTCATTTACTCTTCAAGACTACATGATGTTTAGATTCTGTTTTTTTCTCTTCTTCATAGATAAGGTAGCTGATTCACAGAGATGTTAAGAGAATCATGATGGACAGAGTTGTACACCTGTGTGGATTCCTAGAGCATAGGGCACCTGCATCCACAGTTTGCCCCCTTGACTATTATTCTCAGAGTTGTTGAGAGGAAAGGCTTATTACATTAGTCCTGCTGGTCCATCTTAGATCTCAGTTCTGGGGATTTCACTGCAAAGGTCAATTTCCCCCTGTGTCACACCAGTGTAAGCTCTGTGGCCCACACAGTATCTTTCTGAGGAATATCTTTTTTTTTTAAATCTGGACAGTAGGGAGATTTTTTATAGATTCTGGGACATTGCAACATTGATTGATGGCAGGGCTCAAAAGTTTTTGTAAAGAATAAGAAGCTGTGCACAATTTAATCAGTGAAGTGCCCATGTTGCGTTGAGAGAGAAAAGAAACTTGATATGTTTTAGTTGGTCAATTTCTTGATTTGTAGGTAAAGAAATAAAATCCTAAGATGTGAGAAAACATTTTTTCTGAGACTTCACAGTGACCAAATGATAGAGACCGATAGCCTAAGTCTCTTTTCAGGCCATTATAGAGAATTTAGTCTTCCTTTCCTATGTTTAGGATTTTGATTGTTCTTTGTCTCAGTATGCTTCATTGTGCTCCTCTTAATTTAGTAAGAAATTCCATTTATCCCTAGGAATTTTGTTTCAGACCAGTAGAGTACAATTTAATAACTCTGACCTTCAATTTAGAAAATGATAATAGAGTATCCATAAAGTATTACTACCACTTCACCAAGTACTTCACCTACTCTTACGAATGGAGGGCAAAAGGATGACTCTTCTTCATTCCAAACCACCTTTCCCTGCTTCCCAAATGAATGCAAAATCCCAAGCAAAAATTCACTGTAGTTATTGGTATGTTGACCCATATGACCAGATAATAATACTTGGAAATGCAACTTTAACAGATTTGGTGCCTGGATATAAAATCTTGATATCTTGGGTTGGGGATATAGCTCAATTGGTGGAGGACTTGCCGTACATGCACCAAGCCCTGGTTTCAATCCCCAGCACCACTAGAAAGAGAGAGAGAGAGAGAGAGAGAGAGAGAGAGAGAGAGAGAGAGAGAGAGAATATGAATGAAATGAATGAATGAATGCATGTCTGGACCTATGTTTTATCATTTTAGGAGAAATTGAGGTAGGAGATATTTTGTAAAGATGTCACATCTCACATGCTTTCTTGGAAAATGATGTTAGCTTTCCCTCATTGAGAGATGAGGTTTGTGTTCCATCCCTTTGAATCTGGGTGAGGCTGTGACTAATTTGGAAGTGACATCACGTGACTTCTCATTGCACAAAAAGTAATAGAGCTCTGCATGGTTCTCTACAAATAATACAAACATAATTATTCTGATAAAAAGACAAAATGTCATCCTCATAGGTGCTCTAGTCACAGCCACAGCTGAGATCCCACCTTACAGCCCATCTCAATTATCCTGCATGTGAGCTTCTAATTGCTGCAAACTGATGCACATGGTCTAGAGATATACTGCCTCCCTTGGGTCCTGACCTAATTACCAAATCCATGATTTCATTGCCTTGAGTGTTAAGATTTAGGGTTATTTGCTGAGCTGAAAGAGATAACAGGAACTCGTATCAGTGCAGCATTTCTAGACTCTTTGCATGGGGTGGTAAAATGAGAACAGAAAACCTGCCAGGCAGTTCACTTGATGGAGGGGATCTTTTCATCATCAGGGCAGTCTGAATCCCCAGTCCTTCTCTATTCAGGAAGAAAGCAATTTTATTCACATCCTCTCACCTAGTGGGATTTTCTGTCATGTGTACACTCTCTTCTCTGCCACCCATCTTATCTGGTATCCCTATTTCTTTTGCCCAAGCATACCTGTATTCTGGTCATAACACCTTGTAGAAATCTCTGCAGTGATCATCACCACTCCCCCCATCTCTTTTTTTCTCTCAGGACTTCTTTGATTTTCTTTTTAAATATAAAGTTCATTGAATGCAAAGTCTTATTTTTTCTCTTTCAAGAAGTTCAGGGGTTCCGTTAAAAAAGAGTTGTGGGGAAAAAAAAACTAGAGATAATAACCCAGTTGCAGTATATAGAACCCACTCAGAAGGTCAAGGCTGCACTATATGCTATTACAAGTCATCACTTAGATAAAGTATCCAGCTCTTCAATCTGGATTTTTTTAAACACAGCTTTAAAGAGAATGGAAAGGGAAAGACAAGAATCATTTCTTCTAACAAAGATTGTGAGGAGGAGGAAGATTTAGGTGACCTGTCCCATTCCAGTGAATATTTAGGCCATGTTCTTGTGTCTCTTTGGAGTCCTAGGCTCCTATATTCTTTCTTCTCTCCAAGTCAATGAAAAACTCCACTTGTATTATTGAATGAATCGAAGCTGTAGAATTTATAGCAAAGCAGAACACAAATCCTAGTATCCAGTGTGGGGAAAAAAAAAGGTGAATATCTGCATGTTATTAGTGCAAAACAACAGGATTCTTGTTTCTTGCTAATAATGTGAAATCCAGATTTCATTTTTTTCTGCTTATAGACTTAGAAGACTTGCTGAAAGCAGGAAGCCAATATTGAAACCTTTGTTGTTGTTGTTGTTGTTGATGTGGCTTTTGTTTTCTCCCTACACTGGGAAGGTTTGTGTTGATTCATACATGGAGCTTACAAGATCTCTGTTAAGATAAAGTGGGTGCTTTTGTAGTCTGCAGGAATGATGTCTCAGTAATACAGAGAAGAAAGAAATTAAAACAGTGCCTTGGGCTGTTTAACCAGATTTAACCAGTGACACTAACTGGTGAGACCAAATCAGTGTTGTTCATAGGAGGTTAATTCCCACTTCCAAACTGGGCTCTAGCCTGTCATATGGGGGGAAAAAAACTTTTCTAGCAGTAGAGACATTTAAATTAGATACCAGTTAACAGAGGCAGCATTGGTGCCCTGGAAAAGACCAAAGTGTGACTAACTGAAGGCATGTGTTCTGTCTGGTTTCAAAATATCAGCAAATGAAGCAACAAGAAGAAGAAAAATCGTTATCTATTAAGCTTTTACTATGTAAAAGGCACAGAACCAAATACATCCTCACTCTATGAGAAATGTAATATGAGTGCTAGAAAGTGAGACCTTAACAGAGGCCAAACTTCAGTTAAGTGGTAAACTTGGAATTTAAACCCATTCAAGAGGATTCTAAAACCAGTTACCAAGCACTGTTCTAGTGTAAGTAGCTGGGTGACTAGAACAAGTGACTTCCCTTTTTTTAAGATATGCCTATGCTTCCTTACCTATAAAATTAGGAAGTTGGATGCTCTGTCTCCTCCATCTGCATCCTCATTGGCCACTCCTACCATAAGAAGATCACTGCAAACTTGATGGCTTGAACAGTGACCATGCTTTATCTTAGAGTTCTGCTGCCGGCAAGTCCAACATAGGCTTCCCTTAACTTGAATTTAAGGTGAAGACATGGCTGATCCCTTCAGGAGACTCGGGGAAAGTCTGTCCTTTAGCCTTTTGGAGCTCCTGGAGGCCACTTGGCTTGTGACCCAGGCCTCATATCACTCCAACTTCCTGTTTCCATCATCACATCTTCCACCTTTTACTCCTCCTGCCTCCCTCTTATGTGGACTTCTGTGATTGCACTGGGCCTTCCCATATTATCCAGAACAATCTTCCATATCATGGTCCTTAATTAATATTTTCAGCAAAGACCTTTTTGCTACAGAAAGTGACATTTAAGGTTCTGCAAATTAGGACTTGGACCTACTTGGATCATTATTCAGCCTACTACAAGCTGATTTTTTAAAACTTTTCTTTAATATCCAGTGGTATCATAAAATTGTAGGATGGTGTGCATTTGCTTGGCTGTTCCTCTATCCTACCTGTGATGTTGAGCCCATGTTGCCTGGAAGGGTCACTGTCAGCATGAGTTTCCAGCTTGGTATGGTAGGCCTCTTAGGACCCCATATATTGCCCTCTTTCTGGCTCTCATTTTAACTTCATCCTTATGTTGAATGATCATTTGTATGGGGCCACTTTGTTTCTATAACTATTTTCTATAACTATTTTAAACATTCTTCCTCCTGTCTGGTTAACATGGTGTGATAACTCTCTCATAGGAATGCAGCCTCATATCATCTTGCTGTCCAGTCTTGTCATCCTTGACTTGCATGTTTTGAAGCAGTCTTTCTCCGATTCCTATTTTCATGTTCTAGAGAGAAAAGGCCTTGTTATGTTTAGCTATGAGGTGGCCCCCAAGAGCCTAATGAAATAAAGTTTAGAGGCAAAATGATTGGATTATAAGAATGTTACACCAAACAGTGCATTAATTCACTGATAGGGAGTAGCTGGGTGGTAACTGTAGGATAGTAGGTTGTGGTGGAAGAGATGGGTCACTGGGGGCATGCTTTGGGGGCTTATATTTTGCCCTCATTGAATGGAGTGCTCTCTCTACTTGATGGTGGAACCATATCCTATGTGGTTTTCTTCCTCCGCACTCTTGTACCATGATGTTCTGCTTCACCTTGGACCTGAAGCAATGGGTTCAGGCACCTATGGACTGAGACCTCTGAAACCTTGGGCACCAGATAAACTTTTCCTCCTCTCAAATAGTCCTTTTAGGTCTTTTGGGTACAGTGACAAAGAGATGAATACACAGGCCTTTTACCCTGGACCTCTACAACATCTTTCTCTGGTTGATGCCTGGTGAGCTCGTTAATGTAATCCACAAGTCACCAGGCTTGTGCACTCTGTATATTAACCATCCCACTCCGTCATAGGAAACCCACCTAGGTAACACCCAGCATAGGCTTTGACCTTCAGGCCCCTCCCATTCTCTCTTCCTCTCCACCCACTGGCTGAGCACTTACTCCAGGCTGTTCCCCACCCACTCATTCCATTAGCCCTGTGTGAAGCTGGCTATCTGTTTGGGATCTGGAATAATAAACTTAACCTTTCCGTCACTCCCATCTGAGTCCTGCACTGTGTTACACCTAACAACTGACTCTTCCTCAGTTTCCTCCCTTAACAAATCACCACATGATTTATGTTTTCATCCATATCATTAATGCAAATATTTATATTTCCCTGAGTTCTGCAGAAGCTAAAAATTTGGTTAACTAGATGGAGAACTCTGTCAGTGTTAATATCTTATGTTCAATAATGAGAAAATTATCAAAAGTGCTTCATGGTTCTTAACACTTCTCCATACCTGTTCCACCACATTGAGAAGTAGAGTGGACTTCTCAGTGATCTTGTTCTGGCTGGTAAATGACCTATGAATTTACTTATAAATGACAGAAAGTAGAGCATTGTTTTCTGGTAAGAATATTGACCTAGTATATAAATCTGTAGTCACATATCAGATATATACCATAAAGTCAGTTATATTTCTCCTGGATTAAGGAAACGTAAAAAATACAAGTTACTGAACATTTTTTTTTTATTCTTTTATGAGTTTTGCTAAAAGTAACCAAAGCTTATGTCTTGCCTTCTTTGTATATGGTTTACTGATTATTCCAGGTAGTTGACATTAAGGGCTTTTGATTCATTCAACCGTATACACTTGCAAATTATGTGTGTATATACACTCAATATATTAACACATTTATCTTTTTTAAAGTGACTTCAATGTCAGATTGATTGCATCTGAAGGACATTCTAAGAGGATCCAAATGGGGATTGACAAAGAAACTAATGTTTATGGAACCTCTTCTAGACCCACTGCTAAGCATTTTAAACTGGCTATCAAATAAATTATTTTAAATTCAGTCAGTAGACAAGTACATATTTAAATAAACATTTATACTTATTTCCTTGCTTGTTTTTAATTACATACACTTTTTAAAATTTATTGGTTTTGAAACTGCTATTTGTTGACCACAGTTTATTGTTAAGGAAACTAAAATAATAACAACCATTATGGTGATCATAATTGTATTCAACAACAGTAGCATTATGCCAAAACTTATGTCATCTCTGAAAAATAATAGTTTTTCTTCCTCTGACGTGGGAAGAGTTTGGAATAAAATTTTAAGAAACACTGAGAACTGGAATTCTTCAAAAGAAGAGGTGGATTGTCTTCCTATCTTTTATAATTAGCATTTGCAGGCCTAGACATAACCTGCCTTTGAACAGCACAGACCACTTGGGGAAACCTCCTAAGCATTGGTGTTATTTCCCAACTTTCTTCTCCACAGGTCTGCAGACTCACCCGTAGTTCAAGAGACACAGGAATCTGGTTTAACTCTAAAATCTGTCTTTTTCCTTGCCTCTTTCAGGTAGCGCTGGCACCCCTGTGATGTTTAACAAGAATGGGGATGCCCCTGGGCGTTACGACATCTTTCAGTACCAGACGACGAACACCACCAATCCCGGTTATCGTCTGATTGGGCAATGGACAGATGAACTGCAGCTCAATGTGAGTTCTATTTGCTCTTCCTCTTCCCTTGTCAGATGAATGAGCAGAACTGTTTCTGTTTTGTTTTTGAACTCAGGGGCACTCGACCACTGAGCCCCATCCCCAGCCCTATTTTGTGTTTTATTTAGAGACAAAGTCTCACTGAATTTCTTAGTACTATGCTAAACTGCTAAGGCCGGCTTTGAACTTGTGATCCTCCATCCTCCGCCTCCTGAGCTGCTTGGATTAAAGGCAGGCGCCACAGTGTTTTGTGAATTTTAATTTGCACAGTAAAACAAATTATTCTCAGTTTTTGGTGCTGGGATTAAACCCAGGATCTCACAGGTGCTAAGTAAGCACTTAACACTGAGTTACACTCCAGCTCCACCAACAGGTATTTCTTGTTTTCATGTGTGCATGCATACACAAGTGAAGTTGCAATTTGTTACTGGCACCAGTAAGGTCTGACTAATAGTACCAGTAAGGGTGATGATCATGGTCATGCATTAGAAAACGTGTATTGAATTTTTTGCACTATAGTTATAAACTCTGTGAATTCTCTCATTTAACCCAAAGCTTATATTGCTTAACAAGTTATCTGCTGTCACTTTTATGGGATCCTTCTCTTACACTTTCCTTTCTTCCTTCTTCCTTATTTGGAGGTGACATGATTTTTTTTTTTTTTTATTTCTTTGGATGATTTTTAATGAGTCATTTTGGTTTAAACTGAGATTATCTGATTAATTGCAGTATTAGCACTTTCCATAACTTCTACCTTTTTCTTTAAAATGTGATCTCAAGTAAACAGCCACTGTTTTGCATAGGATCAAGTCCATGCTGATGTTCCAGCTCAGGGAGTTTGAGGGAGGGGGTAGAATTGTCTCTTATTCAGCTTCTTTTGTTCAATTTAGTCCTTGGATAGGTTGGATGAGACACACACGTTTGGGAGGGCTGTCTGCTTGACTCAGTCTACTGATTAAAATGCTCATCTTATCCAGAAACACCCACTCAGGTACACCTAGAATAACATGTGACCAAATGTCTTATCACCCTTTGGCCCAGTCCAGTAGACAAATAAAATTAACCATCATAGTCCTTTCCCAGAAAATTCTTTGTCTCTTCTGAAGCTGAAAATGATGTCACTAGTCTTTATCAGTCTGTACCTTTGGAGGCACTTGGGGAATCATTGAAAGTGGAAAACGGAATCAGGATCTGGGGCTGGGATGGGGATTTGTTTCATGGTTTCTAAAAAGAGAACAGTGTAAAGTGATCACAAGCCAGTTAACCTTATTTGCCCATTCCTGGGGGCCTGACTTTGCTTATACCTGTCCACCTCTCCATCTCCCTTTCCTGAGTTTCACCAGCCAAATGAACTGACACCAAGCCTGAACCTAAAGGATTACAATGTGGCATCCAAGAATGAATGGAACCGGATAGCAAGTGCCAGCCCTAGCTGAGATGAATGCTCAGGGACATAGCTGGAAAGCAGCTAAAATTGTCCTGAATGCAAGCTGCCCTAATCTGGTATGCAAAAAGGAATTAAAAAATAAAGCAAAACAGAAAATTAAAAAAGAAAATCCAAGGTATAGTGATAAAAAGCAGAATCAAAGTGTGGTATAATCTGATGGACTTACCTAAAAGGAGATTTACCTGGTATTACTTGTGTGATAGAAAGATGGTTCAACCAAGACTAAAAGTATAGTCAAGGTCTGTGGTATATGTGAAATGCACAGAGATTATTATAAAACCCAGGACATTAAACAGGTGATTAATCTTTTCTAGCACAAGCTTCATCACCTGTGTTTAATTTTCGGAATGCGTGATTTGTCCATGTACATAAGATTTTGCCAACTGGCATTTACCAGCTTCATATGTGATTTGGAATTTCTTAAGCACACTAATGTTAAGAACCAGTATCAATACGAACTTTATTTTTGTTTACTGCGTATGTATCATATCCCTTATGAGAATCACATTCGATATGCCATTCAACAAATTTGGTGTTGGTTCTGTTTTTACAATACCTGTCTTTGGATACACTCTGTGAGAGGCAGTGGGTAAATACATATTGCCAAAGGAAACAGGATACTTGTTCTCATGCCAATTGATCATGTAGGAGGGAACTACCAGGTGTCCAAGCAAAGAGATGGGTATGTGGTCATTCCAGAGTGTTACAAGAGAGATGGTTAGTGAATAATAGAAGTGGAAATGTAGGGTCCACAGGATGAGCATCTAGCTGATAAGAAGGCTGACATAGCCCTAGTGTCATCAGTGATGGGGAGGGACTGGGAAGATGTAAGAGCTATAGGTAAAAGTCTTATCGCTGAGGTTCCTAGTACACCATGGTGAAAACTCTAACTTTAATTATGAGTGCATTTAAAAGCCACTAAGAGATAATAAGGAAGTGACTTCTTCAAATTAAGGGATAAAAATTATTTTGCTGGGAAGAAAATGAATTGGAAGGGAAAAGAAGGGTAATAGAATGACTAATGGGCTATTGCAGGGGCTGGGGTTTAGCTCAGTGTAGAGCACTTGTCTAGCATGTGTGAGGTACTGGGTTCAATCCTCAGCACCACAAAAATAAATTTAAAAAAAAATTAAGGAATAAAAAATAACTTAGGAAAAAAGTATTGCAGATGTTGGGTGACAGTAGGGTGGCTTAATGAAGTGATTTTCAACTTGAGTATGTATCAGAACAAATCTGGAAGCTTGTGAAAACATGAACTATGGGGCCTCATCCCCAGGGTTTGATTCAAAAGGCCTGGGGCTAAGGGAGACCTGAATGTTTGTCTTTCTAAGAAGTCTGGGTAATGTAGGTGGTACTTTAAGAAACACTGGCTTAGACATATTTAATGATTGTGGAGATTAAGCCAAATGAGAGGTATGTATCTATTATTTAAGGGGCTTTGTGGATGCTGGCACCCCTTCAGATGAGAAAGAATAGGAGGCAGTAGGAGGAATAAAAATCAGGATTGCCAGTTCTTAACTTGGATTTTTTTTAAATATGTGAGACTTCTTAAATATTCAAAAGCCAAATGAAATGGATATAAGCCTGAAATGCAAACAAGAGTTTTGAGCTATAATTATCTTTTTTTAAAAAGTAAGTTATAAACCTATAAATGGGCTTGTAAGAAGACAGAAAGGAGAATAGCAGAGAACTCCCGGCCTTCAAAACTTCTTAGAAAACAATACAGTTTCATTCCAGCTACTCCAAACAGTACCCAGTTTAAAATATTCAATTAGCCTGGAAAGTTGGGTCAACTACCTACTTTGAATTTTCTTTTGGTTTTATGAAAGCTAGATCTGAAGTGTATCTTTGGCTTGGCATCAAGTGTGAGGACACATTTGATTCTACTTTGTCATGCTGAGGGAAGTGTGTTATAAAGAGCTAATGGTCTCCCTGAGTCCTCAGGTGGATGCAGTTGTTTATGTTTAGGATTACGTGCAGTCTAGAGGGATGAATCAGGCATGAACAGTTATTTTTAAAGGGGTGAGAATCTGGGTTAGTTCAACTAGAGTGACCACTTAGATAGCAGGTTGTAATAGGAGGTGATACTGTGGACCCCTTTTATTATTAATTTGGAATTAAGTCATTTTAAGAAAAGAAGAAAAGTACAGTCTCTAGAGTTTACCTCATCCCTCTTACCTGGAACCCATGGCCACGGTTCAGGTGTCCTATCCAGTGATTGGCATCCTGTCATACATCACTCTACTCATGTTCTTCCTTCTGTTGTATTTGTTGGGATTCAGTTTAACACATCTGCAAGAGTGGAATTACAGCAAGCATTGTTTTATAAGTTTGCTTTCCTCTCAGCAACAGAAGAATACAAAGCATTTCAAGTAGCGGATGGTCTCTTCATTTGCAAAGACTCAGGGGTACCCTTGCAATCCCAAGTTATATCTTCTCTAGCAAATGACAATTTCAGGAGAGCTTTCTCTGAAGTCAGTAATTGCAGGTGAGTTTCTGAGCCAAGAAAGTTTCAGGTTGTCTGAATCCCAATGCTGCAGAGCAGACTCACGTGTCTTTTCTACATGCGATCAGCTGTAATTGAGGTGCCTAGTAGTGCATATTCTATTAATGGAGCATTCCATGTACTGTTACTGCCAGTGTGGTAGCTCTGAGCCCTGACTCTTCTGTGTTCTAAGAGATGATTGCATGGCTCAGTACCAGAATATTTCTGCACTAATGAGAAATTTGTAAAAGGGAATTATAGAACCAGAAAAGTCACTTACTCTCCCAGTTGCAATTCATAAATAAATAACCTTAATTTTTCAGGTTTCTATTCTACTAGTAAGAGATTTCACAAAAACATACTTCCTGGGAGAACGCAGAAGACACAAAGGCAACAAATATGTATTGTATTGCTTCTCAGCAGTGTGTCTATACACTAAAAAGAGCAAGCCCCTATGTTCTGAGTCCACAGACTTCAATAATGGATGTATAGTAGGACTACACATAGACATTGAGTTAAGGGGAAAAATCCAGTTATATTTAAAATGAATCTTGAAGGATAAGTAGTAGTTCTAAAAACATTGCTACATGCAGTGGCACACACCTATAATCCCAAAGGCTGTGGCAGGAGGATTGTGGGTTCAAAGTCAGTGTCTTAGCAAGGTCCTAAGCAACTTAGACCCTGTCTCTAAATAAAAACATAAAAAAGGGCTGGGGATGTGCCTCAGTGGTTAAGCACCCCTGTGTTCAATCTTCAGCACACACACAAAAAAACAAAAAAAGGAAATAAGAAAAAAATGCTTTAGAATGCACAATGCAGTACTGTTTAAAAATTGCAGTAGGGAATATATTAGAAAGTAGGAAAGGAGCCAGGTGTGGAGACTCACACTTGTAATCCCAGAGGCTTGGGAGACTGAGGCAGGAGGATTGCAAGTTCAAAGCCAGCCTCAGCAACTTAGTCAGGCCTTAAGCGATTTAGCAAAATCCTGTCTCAAAATAAAAAGGGCTGGGAATGTGGCTCAGTGCTTAAGTGTCCTCTGGGTTCAATCACCAGTTTAAAAAAAATAAA